TTAATAAAAGTCTACCTATTTTAAAACATTCATTCAATCTATCTACTAGAAAGTTATGTTTAATTTAAAACAAAAGAGGTAAAAATCAATACCTATATTTACCTAATCGTATGAGGAGATTTTATGGATTCTGATCTAATTTCTTTTCATTAGTTTGTGGATAACGAATCTGGAAAACGAACCTGTAATGTGCTAGAAGGTCACAATCATCTAGTCCTTCTACGAATTCCATTTTAACACCAACGTCAAACACACAGAATTTAAGATTGTAAAAACATACTAAAGCTAAGATTTGAATAAGGACAGATACATTGAATGTAAGGACTATAGGACAAAAGAACCCATTTTTCCAAGGTGAGATTTGAGGATTAAACAAAAAACTGCAAAATGAGTTTCTCCGTGGTATAATTTGCCAATATTATCCCACTCTGAGACTAATCCTAGCAAGTTCATCCTAGGCTTGTGGCACTAAGCACTTACTTCTGACATCTGGAGATCTTAATATGAGGGGTGGGAAGTGAGAAGAAAGATACAGGTACTTCCTGCCACATGAGTATTTCATTTATCAAAAGCCTGTGGCCTTTTAGCACTAATCAGAGAGGGGTCCATATGGCACTGTTCTGAGTTCCCTCTTGTAACTTAAAGGGAAACTTTCACCGTGTCTGGAGCCTTTGATGTCCTGCAAATGAAGGAGGAGGATGTCTTCAAATACTTTGCAGCAGAACCCACTTAGATGGTGGCCCCAACCTTGACTTCCAAATGGAAAAGTACATCTACAAAAGGAAAAGTGATGGCATTACCTCATAAATCTGAAGAGAAGCCCGGAGAAGCTTCAGCTGTCTGCTCGTGCCATTGTTGCCATTGAAAACTTGGCTGATGTCAGTGTCATGTCCTCTAGGAATACTGGCTGGTGAGTTGTGCTGCCACTGGAGCCATTCCTATTGCTGGTTCTTCACTCCTGGAATCTTCATTAACCAGATCCAGGCAGCCTTCAGGGAGCCGTGTCTTCTGGTGGTCACTGATCCCAGGGCTGACCACTGGCCTCTCCCAGAGGTGTCTTATGTTAACTTGCCTACTCTTGGCCTGTGTAACACAGACTCTCCTCCGTGCTTTGTGGATATTGCCATTCCACGCAACAAGAAGGGAGCTCACTCAGCCGGTGTGATGTGGTGGATGCTGGCCTGGGAAATTCTGTGCTCGTGTGGTACCATCTCCTGTGAACACCCATGGAGGCCATGACTGATCTCTACTTCTCCAGAGATACTGAAGAGACTAAAAAGGAAGGTCAGGCCACTGCTGAAAAGGCTGTGACCAAGGAGGAGTTTCAGGCCCCGAATTTACTGCTACTCAACCTGAGGTTTCAGACTGGCCTGAAGGTGCAGGTGCCCTCTGTGCCTGTTCAGCAGTTCCCGCTAAAGACAGGAGTGCTCAGCCCACCACTGAAGACTGGTCTGCAACTCCCACTGCTCAGGCCACTGAATGAATAGGCACAACCACTGAGTAGTCTTAAGGTGTTCTTCCACAGACTCTTAAATGGAAAATGGAAATAAGGTTGATGAAAAATAAAGAGTTTCTTAAAAAAAAAGCCTGTGGATAAGAATAGACGGCCTACGCCTCGGAAGGGCAGGCGGTCTTGTATGGTGGTAAGGGCACAGGGTACAGAGTTAGACAAACTATAGTTCAGGCCCTGCCTCTGCCACTTAGTTGCCATTAGAATTTTCAGCAAATTACCTAATCTTTTGGAATATCAGCCTCCTCTGTAAAACGTAAGCTCCATGAGGACAGGGACCACGTCTGTGTTGTTCACTGCTGTATATCCAGTACCTAACAAGCCTGGCGCTGTGGCACTCGGTGCCAGTCAAATATGCTATTATAGGGGTATAGTGAGAAAGAAACAAAGAGCAGCCCCTGACATTCAGAGGCTGGCCTGGACTCACAGGGAGGCCATGTTATTTTCCTGTTAGACAAACAAGTTCGTCAAATACCAATCTCAAAGTTACCCCGAGACTATGATAAAACGAGACAAAGCAAGGCCACTGCATAACTTTGTCTAAGCACAGATAAATACAAGGTCACTGTGCCACCCACAAGATACCAAACACTCCCTCTGTTGGCCAAAATGAGTGACTGCTACTTCTTTACTAATTGTGCCTTATCCTTCTGGCTCTCTTCCTATACATATGATTTATTGAGATATCCAGTCATAGAATTGCGTCTGCTTTCTGACAGCATCCAATCCAGAGAAACCCCTGCTTTTTTAGACCCTCCCTCAGTCACCCAACCAAAGCCCAAATTCGGTGATAGTTTTTTTCCTAACAACCCCTTACTGCGATGCTCCGTGATTCCTCAAGGTGTGTTTGCATTCACTTCGATAAATAATTAACACAATCTGTTTAACTAGTGGTGTTCCCAGTGGCATTTGGGTGAAGGGAAATGATAATGCAAATGGAAAAAATGGGGAGATAAACAGTGTCTCTTCAGAGCTGTTGTGAGTATCAAATGGATAATTAACTTACCGACATATGTTGAGGGTCTGTCTTGTGCCAGGCACTGTGCTGGGTGCAGGAAATATGGAGAACAAGACCCGGACAACTCTCCAGGAGTTTGAACCTGTGGGACTTGCAGAGTAGGAAATTTATGATCCAGTTTAATGTTGTTAGCACTATTACAGAGGCATACACCTGCTATAAACATGTTATAGTGATGAGGATTTTAGGCTGGTTACTTTTAAAACTACAGATAAGAAGCAGGCTCCGAGGAGTGGAATTTGCTTGCCCTTTGATCAGAGACAGTTGCATTTGTGAAGGAAATCTCTATGCCTCCCTCTCTGCGCCAGGAGGAAGGGGAGATGGCCTTATCTCTGGAAACTCTTAATGGGGAAGGCAAGAACTTAAGTTGTTTACTGTCTGGCAACCTCATGTAACTGACCCCCCACCCCAAAATCCTCCTTTGTCTTTAGTTGAAGATAATATTTGACTGGTGACTTCTGCCATTTACTCAATCCGGTTTGATTCTTATCTAAAAGTTGTGGGACCGCCCAATGGCCGGACCCTACCGGCACTGGTACCGTTTTAACTTTTATTGCTTTGTCTTGTAAAGAGATGACTCACATACCCATGCCTTAAATTTAGCCCTAACCCTCAACTTGGGGCAGCAGCAGGAGCTCTGCCTGCCCATGGGTCCTGTCCCCACCCACCAGCTCTGCCTGCCCATGGGTCCTGTCCCCATGCCAGCGGGGGCAGCAGAAGCGGTGGCAGCAGAAGCTCTGACTGCCCATGGGTCCTGTCCCCATGCTATTCTATACTATTCTCTAAATAAAAGAGCACTACTGCCAGATCTTGAGAGTCTAAGAAATCTTTCTTTCGACTCCTCGGCTCACCGACCCCGCCTCAATAGGACCATACATAACGGAGGAGCATGTTTTCAGACTTAGAACTTCCATTAACTGTAAGATAAAGTTGTGTTGTTTTAAGCTACAAAATTTGTGATAATTTGTTACAGCAGCAATAGAAAACTAATACAGGATTCTCGAGCTTAATCTTTAAAGTGGAGCGCCACAGGTATAAGCAAAGGGAGACCAATTCCTGCAGGACCTGCCAGTTTTTCTGCACAGCTGTGTGCTTAGGAATGTGAAAGAGTACGTCAGGGTTAGAAGCTGACCAGTCTCCTATGCAGAGAAATTGGAAGTAATCTGGAAGGCGATTAGAGACCACTGAAGGATTAAAAGCAGGGAGTGTGACAAAATCAGATTAGCGTTTTAGAAGGATGGATGGAGCCTGGAAATAAGGAGAAGGTATGGGAGACTCCTTAAGTCCCCTAGGCAAAAAACCGGAGGCCGCCTTTGATCACCTTCGACAAGACGACCTTACTTATTCCTTGAGATTTGGGGTGAGAACGCAGAAAACATACGGTTGTGCTCTTCAAATATTTGAAATTCTGTCATGAGAGAGTGACCGACACGGTCTGTGCTGCTCTAAGATCAGGTACAAAGTCATAAGGAAATATTAAGGAAGCACATTCTAATAATGAGAGTCGTCTAAAAATAACAGACTTCTTCACAAATAATTATGCCGTCCGTTTCTTTCATCTGTTCAACACATCATTTGCGAGGTTCGGATGTGGCAGGCATCAAGCACACGATGGTGAACAACAGACGAAGGCGCTGCCCGTGGTGGACTTTAATTCTTTGTGTGACGCGGGGCTGTTTACAGATAACTTTTATACAGTCATTTGACTAAGAAGCAAGCTCCCCATCCGGATATCTGGAAAGTGCTTTCTACACGTGGGCCAGGCTGACTTGGAGTGAACCCTGGCCAGGGAGAACCGGCAAGGAGAATAACCCAGTGGCGGGGCTGGAAGGTCTGCGCAGTCTCAGTCACCCTAGGACTAGGGAACCCAGGGAGTGTCCCCCCGTTCTCCTCCGCAGCTCCCGGTTCTCGTCCCGCCCCACCCCTGCCGCTCGCCGGTGCCCCGCCTTCCCCCGCCCACACCCGCCCCTTTACCTCGCGTCGCTCGGCCCACGGGATTTCGAGCTCTTCTCTCGCGAGATCTTCACTGTACCGGTGCTGGATGCGGTGGCCCCCTAGGCGGCGGTAGGGAAAGGTTCCGTCGCGATTTTTCCGCTCACCTGGGTCTGGGCCAGAGGCCCTGGGTGGTTCTGGGGGCCGAGACCGTGCGGCTGTCGCGCGGGGTCCCGGAGGAGAGCGTGGGGCGGACTCACCGGGCTCGGGCCGGCCTGGGCCGCGTGCGCGCCGCGTGTGGCCGCCGTGTCGGGCGGGTGGCCGGCGGGCGCGGGGACACTGCCCAGAGACTCGGGCGGCGGGCCGCGCGGTCCGGCCGCCGCAGGGCCAGGGCGCCCAGACGACGCCAGGGGTCCGCGGGCGGGCCTCGCGGGGCAGGCCCCGCCATCCTCTGGGCGCTGGTGTCAAAGGAGTTCCCTCTTCCAGAGTCCCCGCCCGGAATTGCCGTCTGTTTGCCGCATTGTGGCGCTTGGCTGCCTTCCTCGGAGAGGCGGGAGGAGGATCGGGTCGAGAGGGGAGCAGACGAGGCTGAGATCCCGCGGCGCGCTCTCGTAACATCGGGGGTCCCGGAAAATGGAGTACATGGCGGAGGCCGCCGAGCGCAGCCCCGGACACATGTGAGTCGCGGCCGGTTCCCAAGCCGCTCCGACGTAGAGATGCTAAAGTGACTCTTTGACACCTACGGGGGGGAGAGCTTTCTTTTTTTAGAGGGGGGATTTATTTTGTCTTCAGTGGGAAAAATGACAAGCCGTATTTCCTGAGAGAATCGAATTCATTTTTAGGTGGCAATTTGTTGTAGTAAATACTTGCTTTGACAGTGGTGTTCACCGTACATTCTTCTAGCGTGGCGCTGGCCCCTTCCATAGCCATTAGCTTCCTGTGGCTGTTTAAATGCAAAGTAATTGAAATGAAATAAAATTAAATATTCCGTTCCTCGGTTATACGAGCTACGTTTCCAGTCTTCGTGAGCCACGTGTGCCTGGTGGCCACCATACTGGACATCACCAATTATAGAGCGTTTCTTTTCAGTGATTCTTAAACATGTTCTGCCCCCAGTGCACTTGGGGTGATGACAGCCCCGTCGCTGGTCCTGAATCACTGAACACGGTACTCTTTCCCTGTTTTAAAACGTTTTCTGCTCTAGGTAAGTGTTTACACTTGGGCAGTCCATGTGTGATGCTGAGGCTTTAAAAGATTGCCTTTGGACCGTAAAGCTGTCTCGTGATTAGTATCAGAAATAATTTAGACTCTTTAGACATGGGCCGTATTCATTCAGGATTTTTGCAATTGTGGCCATCCTTGTTTTGTTGCCCTAGTTTTCCAGGCTTGTTCTTTATCTGTTACATCTTTGAAGATTGCTCTAAGTCAGTTTTTAAAAAAGGGCAGAGATGCGATAGCCTAACTTGAAAGCCTTTGTTTGATAGTTTTTGAATTTAACCAGTGCATTTATGAAATCTAATTTGAGAAATTTATGCTTTATTTATTTAAGCTTGTGCTGCGAGTGTGGTGTCCCAATTAGTCCAAATCCTGCCAATATTTGTGTGGCCTGTTTGCGAAGTAAAGTAGACATCAGCCAAGGCATCCCAAAGCAAGTCTCTGTGTCTTTCTGCAAACAATGCCAAAGGTACGGTGCGGTATTATTTTATCCTACTTAAGCTGGGATTCATATACAGGAGAGCCACAGGGATATGCCGAGGTTACGCCAAGAGACATAGAAAAAAGCGTGTAAAATTGAGATTTAATTTTTATTTATGTTGGTGTCACCAAAGATTTTAGAGTTTGCAGTTTTGTAGTGTACTTTTCTAGTTTGTCCTGCTAATCTGGTAAGATACTATAAAGGTATTTGAATCTGTCTTTTTCTGTTAAGGGAGTAATAGATTTGATGTGTACAGTTAGTAGATATGAGTTGATGTTTGTGAAAGTGAGAGCAGATCATTAAGGACATGTTACTGTTATTGCCATGATGGTTTGTCACTGGAAGCTATGTACAATAAAAAGCACCTTATGTTTTAAGTAATTTAATAGTGTGTTTTAAGAATTATATCTGTTAATGTTCCCATGTAACCAAAATGACTGTAGTTGATGGAAAAAAAGCTCAGTAAACCGTATCTGGGGTGGTCTGAAATAAAGACTGGATTTGAAGGCAGACGTCTTCTTCTGAAAGTTAGTGTTTTATCCCTTTGTTTTCTTTAGTAGTTGGCGTAAACAGCTTATATCTAGTAGGCCTTTGAGTAACAAAACTGCCCAGTGAAACTGCCCCTATAAAATTATAATTTTCCAAATGGATTAGGACTCGAGTGGTTCTTAACTTTTTTGCGGGAGAGGGGTTCATGAGAGAATTTGGAAACTCTCTCTCCAGAAAAATGCTTAAAACATGTACTTACGTGCAAACAGGTGAAATTGTTTTAGGGAGTTTACAGTTTGCAAGCTTGGCGAGTGTGAGGCTTAATCTGTTGTAAGTATTTGCTATTCTTAAAAGCATGCTGGAATGAGAAAGCACTGAATCAGGAGACCTGATTTGTCTTGGATTTCTCACAAGTTAGTTTTTTGAAACTCTTGGCCAGTTAACCTGAGTCTTAATTTCCTCATCAGAATGAGGGGGCTTTGTTAGATGACACATGATGCTCTTTCTAATGCCAAAAGCATGCTTATAACAAAGGGACCTGTTTAAAGTTTTTGAATAAACCTTTACAGGTAAAAATGAGAACATTCACTTAACAAGTATGGCAAAAAGAATCATTGACATGACATTTTTAGGGGTATTATGTATTTAACAAACACTGAGCACTTACTGTGTGCTAGGCACTGACCTAAGGCCTGGGCGGGCTGGGCTAAATAACTTAAAGCACATGCATGAGGGATTTAAGTTTTAATTTAGTCAGGCTTTATGTGAGATTCTAAAAGTTGATTTTTACCATTTAAAATTTGGAAGAGACTTGAGATAGACGAATAGTCTGAACTGTTGTTGATACATGGTGTGAGGTACTAATTTCCTTGTTTTGTGTGTGAGAAATAAGCAGTTCTCAAACATTTTAGATGTACATTATAAACTGGTTTAATGCTGTTTTGAGATGATTTCTACCTGTTTTTCAGAGCGTAGCTTCAAGGAACTCTTGGGCATTTTGTCATCCTCACTGGAATTCTTACTGGTGTCTAAAGTAATCAGACTTCTTTAATAGGTTATTTCAGATTGGCTTTCTCAAATACTCAGAATTTTACCTTTTCAACTACGGCGACTGGTCTAATTAAAAGTTTTCTGGAACTATTAAAATTTATTTGGGATAAGTGCTTCAGATCACTCATGGGTATTGTTATATCTGGTTAATAATCAGTGTTATTTGGGTATTTTTGTGTTTCCTGAGAGATGCTGGGTTTCAATGTATTATCTTCTCTTTTAGATATTTCCAGCCACCAGGAACTTGGATACAATGTGCGTTAGAATCCAGGGAACTTCTTGCTTTGTGTTTGAAAAAAATCAAAGCTCCTCTGAGCAAGGTAGGTCAAGTAGCTAAAATCAGTTTTTATAGGTGTGTTGTTTTCTTTTTATAATCTATCCTTTTCAGGAAATCCTTGTATGAGTAGGTCTTTCAGTGGTTGCTAATAAATACTATTGGTAAGCACGCTACTACAAATGCTGTTTTCATTTTTAAAATTATATATATTATTATGGAAATGAAAATCTTTTTACTTTACAAGATTTAATATAGAATCAATTTTTTATTCATCATTTATTGAGATCCTCTTATATACAATATTTTTTTCTGAAAATATTTATATAAAACCATCACTAAACATAATTTAGGAGGTTATAGTATTAGGGCTCTGGTATTCAGTTTCTTTTTATTTTCATTACTGCCCTGGAAAGAAAACATTTGTGCCTGTCACTTAAAATCAGTGCAAGGGCCGGGCCCAGTGGCTCAGGAGTTAAGTGTGCACATTCTACTTTGGTGGCCTGGTGTTTGCCCGTTTGGATCTGGGTGTGGACATGGCACTGCTTGGCAAGCCATGCTGTGGTAGGCGTCCCACGTATAAAGTAGAGGAAGATGGGCATGGATGTGAGCTCAGGGCCAGCCTTTGTCAGCAAAAAGAGGAGGATTGGCAGCAGATGTTAGCTCAGGGCTGATCTTCCTCAAAAAAGAAAAAAAAAAAATCAGTGCTTAAATGTCTCCAAAAGTCAAATAGATTTGTCAGTCCAGTTTACCTCTCTACGTAACACTTTCAGTTTTCTTTATGTTAAACTTTATGACTCACTTCCACTAGGTGCGTTTTTAGTTGAAATGGACTCTTTTGGTTTGAAGGCCTTCAGATTGTCTTTTAAGCTCTGATAACATTTCTTGTAATAGTTCTTTGAAATTTCTCACTTTATTTTCCTCCCTGGAGTTTCTGTTATTCAAATGTTGGCCTTACTGGCCTAAAACTTTGTCTTTCTTTGTAATCCTTTGGTCTTTTTTCCTGGGTTCCTGGATATTTCCTTTTCTTTATCTTCCAATCTTTGTATTGATTTTTTTCCAGCAGTAATATTTTTAAGTTCCAGACTCTTTAATGTTCTTGATGCATTTTGTTCTTGAATTTTTCTGAAAGTTTGATAATTTTTTTTTTTTAATTTCTTTCTGTTCCCTCATTTGTCTTTGGTTTTTTCCTGGAGTCAGTTTGTTGTGTAACTTGGTCTTTCACTTTCATACGTCAGGCTTTCATCAAATGTTTACTGAGCTTTAATATTTCATTAGTTTATTCAGAAGCTGTTTATTAGGTGTCAGGTCTGTGCCAGTCTGCTTTTGGTGTTGGGGATTTGGCAGTGAATGAGAGAGACAAAAATCTCTGTCTTAGGGAATTTTTATTTTAATTGGAGGGGAAGGTGTGGAGTAGGCAAGGAACAAGATAAGTAAGTATAAATTCTGGGGAGGAAAAAACCAGGAAGGGGATAAGACTGGCACAAGGAAGAGTTGCAATTTAAAATAGAGTTGTTGCGGAGGCCTCACTGATAAGGTGACATTTGACTAAACAGTAAAGGGAGCTGTGCAGAAATCTGGAGAAGAGCATTGTGGGTAGAGAAAAGAAGTGTAGAGGCCAGAGGCAGGAGCATACCTGTGTGGTTAGAGCGGAGTGGGGAGGGGAAAAATAGTTGGGGATGAAGCCGGAGAAGTCATGGAAAGCCAGAGTAGGTCAGGCCTTGTAGGCCCTTGTAAGGACTGGTTTTTACTCTGAATGTAATGGGCATAGAGGATATAGGAGTACTGAGATGAATGATTTACGATTTATCAGGATCCCTCTGGCAGCTGTGTTTAGAATAGATGTGACGGGGTTGGGGGCTAGGATGGAAGGTGGGAATCTTTAGATTTTTTTTATTTTTCCTTTTTCTCCCCAAAACCCCCCAGTACATGGTTGTATATTTTTAGTTGTGGGTCCTTCCAGTTGTGGCATGTGGGATGCTGCCTTAGCATGGCTTGGCCAGCAGTGCCATGTCCGTGACCAGGATTTGAACCGGTGAAACCCTGGGCCACCGAAGCGGAGCACGCGAACTTAACCACTTGGTCACTGGGCCAGCCCCGGAGGTGGTGAGAAGTGGACAGATTCTGGATCTGTTTTGAAGGTAGTAGGATTTAGTGATGAAGCTGGATGGGTTTATTGAGACGGAAGGGAGTTGCTGTTAGTGAGGTAGGAAAGGCTTCAAGAGGAGCAGGTCAGGGCAGGAGAGATCAGAGGTCATCTCAAAGTGTTACTTAGATGGCTGTTAGATATGGAAGTAGGAATACTGAGTTGGCAGCTAGGTAAATAAACAAGAGAGTGGTCTGGACTGGAGATAATGAATTTGAGATATAGATGGTATTTAAAGCTATGAAACTGAATAAGATATCCTAGAGTGTATTGATAGAGAAGGGAAGAAATTTGAGGACTGAATCTTGGGGTCTTTAATGATAAAAGTGTAAGAAATCAGCAAAGGACACTGAAAAGGAGCTGCTAGTGAGGTAGGTGAAAAATTAGGTGAATGTGGTGTCTTGGAAGGCAAAGGAAGCATTTTACAAAGGGAGTGACTGGCTGTGTGATTTGCAGCTGATGGGTCAAGTAGTGAGTTCTGTAGGTTTAGCAATGTAGAGATGGTTGGTGACTTTGAACAATTTCTTTAGTGGTGGAGGTAAAGACCTGATTTGAATGGAAATGAGAGAATAGGAGGACAGGAATTGGATGCAGCAAGTGTAGATAATTCTTTTGAGATTTGCTGCAAAGGGAAACAAAGAAATGGGTTAGTGGATGGAGAGAAATAAGGAGAAGGGACACATTTCTTAAGATGGGAGGCGTTACAGTATATTTGTAAGCTACCTGGGAAAGATAGAGTACAGAGGGAAAGATTTGTGAAACTGCAGAGGGAATAATTGGCTGGGGGATGTCCTTGAGGAGTGGAAAAGAGACAGAATATAGCATACTAGTGGAAGAGCATGTTTGTTTGTTCATTCAGCAAATATTCAGCACTTACTCTCTGCCAAGCACCATTTTGAGAGCCTGAAATATTTCGTGGAACAAAACAGATCTCTGCTCTCTAATGGGGCATTCTAGAGGTTGCTCTTGATAGGCACATGGACAGCTCATCTGTGGTAACAGATGTGGTAAGTGGCAGCATCTGGAGAATCTCTTCTGATTGCTTTTTTTATTGAGGGGACAGAAACGTGGGCAGTAGCTATGAGGGAAAAGCTACTATTAGATGTTTCAGGAGAGAGGAGAAGGTATGAAATAGTCCTCTAGGAGAGTAGGAGAGAGAATTTTTCCAGAATGATGATATATGGTTGCTGGGCAGTGCTAAGGGTTACTGTTACAAATTTAAAGACTAACATGGTGTGTATTGATTTTTCTAGGCCCATCAGCTGCACAGGTAAGCCGTAGAGCAGGCAAGAACATTGGATTTAACCAAGGTTATGATTTAGCCAAGTGACTAAGGTGAAATGAGAGAGGGACCAAGGGAATTGAGTGTGTGAGTGGGAATGATTTTGATGACTGATCTTGAGATTAAGCTGGGATAGTATGGAAGTGAGTACATAACGGGGATGAGGGATGATGAAAAGTCAGTAGGATGAATAGATTTTAGGTTGCAGTGGATTGAAGGGTTTCTGGTGCCCAGGAACTGGAGAAAATGAGCTGGAAAAATGGGAGGTGGTAGCCAGGGAGTGAGGTGTTTGGAATTGAGATTTTGGAGAGATTTCACTTACTGATAATAAAAGGGTATTGAGTAGCTGAGATAGGAAAGAGGACGGGATCTTGAGGGGAGAGGAATTCAAAGAATGGAAAGGCCGTGGTATTGTGGGGATTGTCTATGAGGATATTGAAATCACGAAGTGTTAATATTATTGTTGGAAAGAGTGACAGGGAGCCAGGAGCTAAAGTCTTTGAGAAATGAGAGCAGGTGGCCCAAGGATTAACAGATGACTATAACAAAGAGAGGTGGGTGGCATAGCCTGAAGACTTCAGGTTCAAAGCTGGATGTATTTAAGGAGGAGTCAGGGAGAATGATTTACAACTAGCAATTAAGAGCAAGGAGGGCGCCTGTCTGGCTCCTGGTCCAGTGATAGGAAGAAAATGAGAAAAAAAAATCACTTATTACTTTAATTAGCCACAGGGGGAGCAGTGTATATAATCAGGACATCTAAAAGGTGGAGGGAATGTTCAACAAAGAAATTGAGGATTTAGGAGGTTTTATTGTTAGTGAATGTTGAGTTCCAGAGGGCACAGTAAAAGGGTTTCAGGATTTGGGGACAGAATGGGGAGTGTGTGGAACCATGTGGAGATGGGAGTGTGGGAGATGAGGGATGGCTGAGGTGTCTGGGACTGTGGTAAAGAAGGATAAACGGTCCAGTAGGGTTGGTTAGTCCTGCTTGGTTGAGGACAGATAGAGTGGGGAGGCTTTGTTGGGGAATGGTGAAGTAGATGTCCAGGGTCCTCTCTCCATTACTGCAAATGGGGCTTGGAGGCTGAGGGAAGGACAGGTTTAGATAGTGCCCGTGGGCCTTCCTCTTGACCCCTGCAGGTGGAGACTGCACCCTAAGAAGCTGCCTGTCACCTTTGTACCTGGTGTGGCTTGTTGACTACTAGGCTTTGTTTTAGGGGGGTAAGTCATAGGAGGAGGGTTTTCCTCTAGAGTGCTGCATCTACACCAGCTGGTCTAGTTCTCAACAGATGCGACTTGATAAAATTATTGTCTTCCCACTGATGTCTCCCAAATCTGTCATCTACAGTTCAGATTTCTCCATAGAGCTTCAGACCAAATGTGGATCTTACTATCTGCTGAAAAACTTCACTTGGATGTCTCATAGATAAATCCTCTTAAACTCAAATGTCTGAAACCAAATGCAGCATCTTCTTCCCATCAAAACTGTTCTTTATTTGTGTTAGAAAAATAGTATCACCTAGATGCCCAAGCTGGAATCTATTGAGCATCATTCTAGAATCTCCTTTTCCTTCTTCCCATGTCCTGTAATCATTAAATCCTATAGATTTTATGTCCTAAA